GTATAGTATTGTATGCCAATTGAGCTTGATGTCCCCATCAACCATGGTCCTGAGCTCACAGGCCTAACAATGTACTCCCTCAGGGTGATTGGCTGTCACTAAGAAGTTATAATAACTTTACCCCCTGTTAAACCAAAAATAAACAAAGAAAAAAAACAAGTTCACTGTTATTGAGTCAATTCCAACTCACAGGGAGCCCCTTTGCGTTTCCTAAGTGGTAAATCTTTACAGAAGTAGATTGTCCAGCCTTCTTTCTACGGAGTGGCTGGTGGGTTTGAACCACCAACCTTCTGGTTAGCGGTTGAATGCCTTAGGCACAATGCCACTAGAAGAGCTCCTTATCTTGTTCCAAAAAACAAAACAAAACAAAACAAAAAAACACCTCACTGCTGTCTAATCGAATCCAACTCATAGCAACCCCTCCTTGGGTTTCCAATGGTATCTCTACAGAAGTAGATTGCCCAATCTTCCTTCCAAGGAGTGGCTGTTGGTTTAGAACTGCCAGCCTTCTGGTTAGCAGTCAAATGCCTTACACACTATGCCACCAGAGGTCCTCCTTACCTTGTTAGCTCTATTATATATATTGCCATTCTTACAGTGCATAAAAGTACGTATGTAGAAATACCATTCGCCAAACTTATATATGGTTATGGGTATATTCCTCTGGTATAATTCAGCATAGTAACAGGTTTGGTTTGGTTTGTTAAAAAAGTAAAACCATATGTTCATCTGAACACTTGCAGAAAAAGCATTAACTCAATATCCATTCATGAATTAATTTTTCAGAAACTAGGTTGAGAAAAGAATTTAACTTTATAAAAGAGCATCTATAAAAAAAAAAATCTACATTTAAGAACATACTTAATGATGAAAGCCTGAAGCTTTCTCCCTAAAACCAGGAAAAGACAAAGATGTCTGCTCTCCTTACTTGCATTCAACATTATACCACAGGACCTAGCCAAGGCAATGAGTAAAGAAAAATAAACAAAAAGCATATATATTAGAAAAGAAAGAAACTGTATTTACTCACAAATGACATGATCACCTATGCAAAAAACACCAAAGAATCTACAAAATGATACATAAACTGATAAATAAATTTAGCAAATTTTAAGATATAAGGTCAAAATATACAGATTGACTGCATTTTTATATACTACAAATAGAAATTAAATTTAAAAAAAGCATTTGCAATAACATAAAAAAATCAAATACTTATAGATGAATCCAACAAAATATGTGCAAGATTATACAGAGAAAACTACAAAACATTCCTGAGAGACATCACAGAAGACATAGAATTATATACCATGTCCATAGACAGAAAGCCTCAATAATTTTCAGATGTAAATCATCCCTGATTTGATTTACAGATTCAACACAATCCCTATCAAAATCCCAGCAAGAATTTTTCCAGAAATTGGTGAAAGATTTCTAAAATTTACTATGGAAAGTAAAGCATCTACAACAGAAAAGTCAATTTTGAAAAATAAGAACAAAGTTGGAGAACTCATACCACCTAACTTCATCATGAGATATTACATAGCTATAGTGTTCAAGATAAGGTGGTATTGGTGACAGAATAGACACAGAGATCAACGGAACAGAAAAGAGATTTCAGAACTAGACTGCACACACATGGTCAGGTGATTTTCCACAAAGGTAGCAAGCCAATTAACTGGGGGAAATGATTGTTTTCAACAAACAGTACTAGAACACTTGGGCATCCATATGGAGCAAAGTGGACTTTGCCTATTACCTCATACTATACACAAAATTAACTCAAAATGCATTATAAATCTAAATGTGAAACCTAAAACTATAAAATTTGTAAAGAGAAAAACATAAGGAAAAATCTTTGAAACTTTGGTAACACAACATTTTCTTAAACAGAATACAAAAAGCATGAAGCATAAAAGAAATAACTGACAAAGGAGACCATCAAAATTAGTAATTTCTCACTTTTTAAAAGTATTATTTAGAAAAGTAAAAGATAAATCACCAGACTATGATACAATATTTCCAAATCATACATCTGATAAAGACTTGTATCTAGAACGTACAAAGAACACTTACAATGCAAAAATATTGAGACAACCCAGTAAGAAGACTGCAAAATATGTGAATAGATGTTTCACCAAAGAAGGTATATAAACAGGAAATAAAGACATGAAAATACATTAAACTTCATTAGTCAAATGGAAATAAAACTACATGGGCTATCATTATACACCTATTAACATGCCTAAATTTTTGAAAAATTGACAATACTAAGTGGTAGAGAGGTTGTAGAAATACTAGAACTCTCCTTACTCATGATGAGAATGAAAAAAATGCATATCTACTTTGTAAAACAGTTTGTCACTTTCTTATAAAATCCAATACATACTTACCATATGACCCATAAATCCCACTCCTAGGAATTTACCCAAGAGATATGAAAACATATGTCCACACGAAGACTTACACATGAATATTTATAGCAGTTTTATTCATAATAACCAAAAACTAGAAACAATTCAAATGCCATGAACCAGTGAATTTATAAATAAGTGATGGTACATCATATCAGGGAATACCGTTCCACAACAAACAGAAATGAACTACTGGTACATGCAACAATATGGATGAATCTCAAAAGCATTATGTTAGTGAAAGAAACCAGGCAATCATCACATCATATCAGTGGTTGTCAGAGGCTAGAGGCTGAAGGAGAAGAATGACTGTGAGGGAACTTTTTGAGATGATGAATGTTCTCTACTTTGATCATGATTCTGGTTACCTGCCTATATACAGATGTTGAAACATACATACATTTAAAAAGAGTGGATTTAACTATATGTAAACTACAGATTGATAAACCTGACCTTAAAAAAAAAAAAAATAGTACTTAGAAAAATGCATTTCCAACTGCTACAATTATAAATAAGCAAGGAAATGATTACCATGAAAGTCAGGATAATGGTTACCTAGAAAGAAGGAAAGGAGAGCTGGTGGCAAAATGGTTAAGCATTTGGTTGGTAATGGAAAGGCTAGTGGTTCAAACCCACCCAGTGGTTCCAGGGGGAGAAAGACCTGGAGATCTGCTCCTGTAAGGATTACAGCCTAGAGAACCCTAAAAGTCAGTTTTACTCTGTCACATGTGGTCTCTATGAGACAAAATCAACTGAATGGTCCCTAACAACAATAACAAGGCAAAAGGAGAGGACTGAAGGGCGAGGTGTACATAGGATGCTTCTGGAGTGCTGGCAAAATTAATTCTGCTTCATGACCTCCAGGGTCACAAGGATGTTTGCTTTATAATTGTCTGTTAAACTCTGCATTTATATTGTGTGCACTTTTCTTTATGTATATTTTAATAAAACATTTAAAAGTTTTTTTTTTATCTCAGCTAAATGTAAAAAATTTGAATTAAGAATGGAACCATGACCTAAGAAACAGTTCACAGTTCATATCCAAACAAGCAAATTACATTCCAAACAAAAGTAACATTGTTTGTTGGGGAATAATAGAATTCAGAATCTCTACATTTATCACATATTTATTGAGTGTCAGCTATGTGCTAGTATTATGCTACAGACTGGGGATACACTAACAAAGATAAAGTTCTTGTCCTCATGGACATTATAATCAAATAGAGAAGAAAGACAAGGAAATATAATAAAATTTAGTAAATGTTCTGATAGGAGATGTAGAGGGAATGCATTACAGGACTACCTAACCTAATCTAGGTGAGGCTTTCTGGAGGTTTAATCAGGCAAACTATGCAAAATAAATGGCATACTCAAGAAATGAAAAGCAGTGAAGTATATTTATTATATATACAATAAGAGGTAAGTTCAAGAGATGACACTGATGAGTTCAGCAGAGGCCAAGATTACTGAAAAAATGTGAAATTAATTTTAAGAGCAATGAAAAACCTCTGAAAGATTTTCAAGCAGAGAAGTAATACATTTCATTTCTTAAATCTTTTTAATAGGCTTTATTTTTTAGTACAGCTTTAGGTTTACAGAAAAAAATTGTACTGAGAGTGCACAGAGTTCCCATATACCTTCCCTGATCCACACATTTAGGATAAATTTTTATACTGAAACTTCTAATTTCAATAGTAGCAATCTATCTCTGTGAATTCCCAGCATATAATATATATTTTTCTGCAACCTGAAGTTTTTTTCATTTAAGCAACAGGAAGATTCTGATTATGAGACAATATTAGAGGCCTAAACCCACTGCCATCGAGTCGTATCCTACTCATAATGACCCCTCCTTGTGTTTCCAAGGCGGTACCACTACAGAGCTCTGGTAGCATCGTGGCTAAGGCACTTGATTGCTAACCAGAAGGCTTGCAGTTCAAACCCACCAGCCACTCCTCGGAAGGAAGATGGGGCAATCTACTTCCGGAGTGATACTGCCTTGGAAACCCAAGGAGGGGACGCTATGAGTCAGGTCCGACTCGACGGCACATAACAACAACAACAACGACACCACTACAGAAGTAGATTGCCCAACCTTCCTTCCAAGAAGTGACTGATGGGTTTGAACCGCCAGGCTTCTGGTTAGCAGTCAAATGCCTTAGGTACTACACTACCAGAGCTCCTATTAGAGGTTTGAGGTGGGTTTTTTTTTTTTTTTAATTATTACCATTTTCTTTGCTGTTCATTTCTGGATGAGTTTTGAAAGCTGGGAAGAAGTTTTTATATCATACTATCTAACTTAAATAACTTTTAGAAAAATGTTTATTTTCAAGAAAGGATCTTTTTCCCTCTTGAGGAAAAAGTATTCATATAATTTCTCCCTCCCTGCTTTAGAATATAAATGTCTACCATTAAGTGAGGAGAGAGGGCAGAGACAAATAGCAATTAAATACAATTTTTCACACTACTAACTCTTCCTTTAAATTTACTGGAGCTTCACCAAGTGACCCAAACATATAAGAAAGAAGCAACTGAAAACACATACTTGCTCAGAAAAAGTGACAGAATATTTTATTTCAAGCTTACCTTGCTCCTAAATTTTCAATGGTTATATATTCATCCTTTCTCACAACTTCAAACTGCAAAGGATGGGGAAAAAAAATTGCTCTTGCAGGTCAATTTTCAAAATTAATTCTTTACTGTTACTTTTTAACCTTAACACTTGAAAGAAAGTGAAAATGCAAAAATGACCAGAATTACTGGTTGGATAGAGTCTGGTAGAACCCCGGAGACTATGGGCCTGGGTTACCCTTCAGGCCTAGAAATGGACTCACTCCCATGGATTAGCTCTCAGCCCAACTGTAGGAAGGCCTACATGCAGAACACCTACCACAGGGCGATACACCCACCTACTCGAGTGAGATGCATCCCTTAGAGCCATCAGCCATGAGACAGCAGAAGGGCAGCATTCACAAAGAGGGAAAGCTGGACAAATAGGAATGCATGGTTAAGAAGGACACAGGGAGGGGGTAGTCACAGGGACAGGAGGGGAGTTTGTTATGGTCAGGGATGGTAACCGGGTTATGAAATCAAATGTGCATGAACTGTTGAAACTAAAACAAATTTGCTTGGTAAATTTGCACAATAAAATTTTTTTTAAAAAAAAAGAAAGAAAGTGAAGCCATAACGAATAACAAACAGAATAGGGTGAACCATAAAAAGTCCTGATTAAGCAACAAGCATCTACCTTAAAAAACAGTTAAGCAGTTCGAGTTACCATATTTTTACTCAAATAATGCACACATTTTATGGGTTTCTTTGCAAAGTTTATAACTCTTTCAAGTTAGTTTCCTACGTATGACATGCACATGTACACATTAGTTACATGAGTAGTGGCCTAGTGCCTAAGGCATTTGACTGCTAACCAGAAGCCTGGTGGTTCAAGCCACTCCTCGGAAGGAAGACGGTGCAATCTACTTCCATAGAGGTAACTCCTCGGAAACCCAAGGAGGGTTCACTATGAGTAGAATCGCCTTGACGGCAGTGAGTTTGTTTTTTGATGTTACACGTGAAAAGTATAGTAAACCAAAAAAAAAAAAAACTCAGTGCCATCAGGTTGGTCCCGACTCATAGAGACCCCTCCTTAGGTTTCTGAGGCGCTATCTCTACAGAAGTAGATTACCCAATCTTCCTTCTGAGGAGTGGCTCCTGGGAGGCAGTATCTCTATGGAAATAGACTGCCCAATCTTCCCTCCAAGGAGGGCTGGTGGGTTTGAACTGCTAGCCTTCTGGTTAGCAGTCAAATGCCTTAGGCACTATGCCACTAGAGCTCCGAAGATACGACACAGGACTTAAATGCAAAATTTCAAATACAAAAGTGGATTTCTCTGTATATTTTTGGTCTATTTATTTATAAACTGAAAATTCAATAAGATAGCTTGTTAAAAAATATAATGGATACTATTATGAGTACATTTTAGGTACAGTTACTATACATATATGATATTCTATGGATACCTCATTTAAAATTCAATCTAATGTGTTTTGTTTCAAGACTAGCTATTTTTATAGGATGATGTTTAAAGACAAAGGAATTTCAGAAAGTCTAAAATTATTTTTAACCCTAGGTAGCATACAACTGGATTACTTATCATCACGGCTTCATGACACATTATCCAAATTGGTGTAGGCATGGCCTGATTTATCTCTGCTTCTCTTCATGTCTGCTCCTCTTTCTCTCTTTATTTTGAAAATTTCATTGTGCTTAAAGACCACCTGAATACTACTTTGGATAAAGCAAAGCAATAGAAAAGTCAAAGGACTTAGTCATCACCAAGAGAACAGGACTAGAATTCAAGTATGATGACTCACAAATCTGTCTTAAGTCAAAAATACCATTAGAGTGAAGGAGAGCAAGAAAAATAGGATACTCACCAAAATTTTAACAATTCCAGGAATATCACATTCTAGCATCCTTACAATGTCTCCTGTACATTTGTCCTTCAAACATTTTTTTCCACTAAAACTCTAAGAGTATAAGTAGAAAAACAACAGAGACAAATCACTGATGTGCAAATCTGAACACACTTCAATAAATAGTTAGAAGCAGATAGTGAGAGATGAAAAACTGAAAGAATGAATAAACATGGTCCATTTCATATATCAGTGGATTTCCTATATAAAATGCATAGCTGCAGTTTTCTCCCTCATCATTTCAACTTCAAAATCTTCAAGTTATACTATAGACTAAAATGTATTCACCGCCCCAGGAAAAGTGACTTCAAATAAAATGTACTGATTAAATGAGTGTGAAAAGGAATACTAAATTCCTATCAGATACATGAGGATTTCAGGAAAAAGCAAAGAATAAAAATGCTGTTTTCATTCTAATTATGACCTTGCCATTTCCTCTGGTTAAGTTACTCACTTTTATTTCTCTTTCTGAAACTGAACAATGAGAAAATCCATGCCCTTACCAAAAAAAAAACCCCGAGAAAGTATTTACAGACTGCTTAAAAAAGTGAGTAACAATGCAATATACAATAATTTTTATAGTTTACAATGTGAGTTCACATATTTTATCTGTTAATCTTCACAATAACCCAAGGAAGTAGGTATGACTATCATCAATTTAGAACTTTGAAAACACATCCCAGAGAGATTAAATTTCCAGCCTAATTTAAAAGTAAAAATAGTAAATGGCTCAAACTGGACTTGAACTCAGATCTCCTAACTCCAGATCCAATACTCTTTATCCAAAACCAAAACCTAACTCATTGCCATGGGGTCAATTGTGACTCATAGTGACCCCCATTGGGTTTCCAAGGCTGTAAATCCTTATGGAAACAGACTTTCTTCCATGGAGTCGCTGGTGGGTTTGAACCCCTGACTTTGGTTAGCAGCCAAATGCCTTAACTACTATACCACCAGAGCTGCTCAATGCTCTTTACACTACATGACAATTGCTTTAAAAAGTTTTCTATTGTTTACAGAATATAACAATATATAACCAAACATTATACAAAAACCAAACCCACTGCCATCGAGTTTATTACAACTCACTGTGACCCTGTAAGGCACAGTAGAACTGTCCACAGAGTTAAAGGCTGTAAATCTGTACAGCAGCAGACTACCTCATCTTTCTCCCATAGAACGGCTGATGGGTTCAAACTGCCTACATTTTGATTAGCCAAATGTTTTAACCACTGAGCCACCAGAGCGTGCTTTTTTGTTTTGTTTTGTTTTGTTTTGTTTCAACCCTGTTTAATGTCATTAGCTCAATAACAAGTCATTCATATAAAATTGGGCTTTGGGGTTCCTTTTCAAATTTAGTACAGAGAATTGGATTTAGTTATATGTCTTTGGGTAAATGATTCCAAATACATATTTTGAGGACTATAAAATTTATCATTATTCTCTACCCCAAAATAAAAATTATCTTTAAAATTATATAATTAACCTTCCTCTGTGTTAATTAAACAATTCTGTTCTTTGACTTTATGTGACTATCTGCAACAATATTGCTATTCTTAGAAATAAACTTCTAGAGGGAAGGCAACAAGTCCATGGAAATCACTAGGAAAGTATCCCCTACAACGACTGTCTAATAAATGATAATTACATATGGGGGAGTAGAAAGAAAAGCAGCAGTCAGAAAGGGAAGGGAAAAAAGAAACAGGAAAATAAGAGTAGGAGAGAAGATGTAAATAGGAAGAAATGAAGGGAGAAGAGGAAAAGGTAGAGAAGGAAATGTATTAGTAAAGTTTTAAGAAGGAAAAGCAAATGAAATACCTGATCATTTTCACCTCTATAGTTTAAGTTCTTGAACCTTTTCCAACAAACTTTGTGGAAATAAATACAGCAGCTTTTATTGCACATTAACTGAACAAATCCCTGGGAAAGAATAAAAGTAAACCATTGAGGTGGAAACAATAATTCATGTAGCTGTAGAAGATACTACCTGAAGTCACTTATAAAACTTTTATCCCTAGATGAAATGTACATGGCATTAAAATTTTATCAAAAGATCACTGGTAATCAAGACACTTGAAAGCCATTTTTATATCATTAAAATCAGAAAAATTGAGACCAAAAAAAAAAAAAAAAGGCAATAATTTTCAATGTGTTTTTCCCCCGTATGTTGGTAAACAAAATAGCAGAAACCTTGTATCCTGAATCCACTCCTTCTTGCCTGCATTAACATTGTAATTAAACTAAATACTCTGTTTAAACAGTATTTTGATGCACAGTGATACAATAATTTTTACCTAACTTTACTTTTATAATTATATTTTTTTAAAATAGTCAGTTAATTGTTAATTACAGTACCTTGTAATTGGTGTTCTGTAAAATGTCAGCTTCACAAGATCGTTCACAATCTAGGTAACTGCAAATGGTTTGCTTCGTTATATTACTTTCAGATGTCCTGATGAAATTATTTAGAAGATCCTAGATTTAAAAAATGTAAAAATTCTCATGAATTGGCAATAATAAATTAAGACCATAACATTTCCAATGTTTTATCATTGGTGATATGTCCATTTCATATCCCCAGTTTAAGGACTTATGTATTTATTTTTTAAAAAATAGCAGTGGAACGTATGTCGTTCATTCAAGCAAAAAACCAAACCCACTGCCACTGAGTCCATTCCAACTCATAGTGACCCCAATGTGTTTCCTAAACTGTAAATCTTTATGGAAATAGACCGCCTCAACCATCAACTTTTTGGTTAGCAGCTCCTTCTCTTCCCCCTACTAACCCATAATAATTATAACACTTAGAAGGTTCCTATCAAGAATTACATCCTCTGATTACAGAGAATCTTTCCTGGCAGTGGCCCCTAAGACACCATTTGGGCAGTGGAACTATTGAGTGGTGAAATAAGCCACTCACTGACTGGGCTCAGAAATATGCTTCCAATTCCAAAGCTACAATATGGAATGTGTTTTCCTATTTTAACTGGTGATTAAATGTATGTGAAACACAATCATCAGGTCTAAGGTAGAGAGTTCCTTAGAGAGATAGTGGAAAAGCAAAAGATAATATCTAAGATGGAGAAATTTAAAGAAAAAAAAAAATCTGCATTAAAAAAAAATACATATATAGGTACATGTATTAAAAAAAAAAACACCTAGAGAGTTGGAATAAATTGCCGCTATGGAACAAGAAGTATAGGTAGAGAGGACAGACTTCTTCATTTAAAGCCTTATAGTAGTATTTGATTTTTGAAGCTATATGCATGTATATTATTTTATACTAAATAATTCACTAAAAAAGTTTTGATAATAAAGGAAACTATTTTAAAAGGAAGTAAGAGAACAGTAAAACAACAAGACCAAATAGGAGCTACTTTAAGTAGGTACAAAATTTCAATATTAAAAATTATATTAAATGATTGTATTATTAAATTAAAGAAAAAAAGTCATATGATTATTTTGACAAATTCCAAAAAGGAAAATGTATGCTTATTTGATTGATAATGGAGATACACGTACTAAAATATTCCATGGTGACTGAGGATTTATCTATTGGTTCTTTTAGCCAGTTCTTTCTCATCCATTTTGAAACTATTTTATTAGGCATATACAAATGTTGAAGTATTATAACTTCCAGAGAATTGAATTCTATATTTTTATGAAACATCCCTCTCTATTTTGAGGAATGTTTTAGCCTGTAAGTCTGTATTTTGTTTAATATGAAGACAGCTACACTAGGTGTCTGTTTGAATGACGTATCACTTTTCAAAAACGTTTACTTTAAACCCTACAAGAGCCTTGTATTTTAGCTGTCTCTAGCATAGTGCCTAAGACATTTGACTCCTAACCAGAAGGCTGGCAGTTCAAACCCACCAGCCACTCTTTGGAAGGAAGGTTGGGCAATCTACTTCCGTGGTGATACTGTCTCGGAAACCCAAAGAGGGGTCACTATGATGACTCAACGGCACCTAACAACAACAACACTTATAAGCAATATATATCATGGTTGTTTTGTTATTATTGTTACTGTTTAATATGACCCATAAAAAAACCTGAAAATTTTATTGTCTTTTAAGTACATAGTATATTTACATATAATGTTATTACCATTATGTTTGTTTTCTCACTGTTGTTGTTTATTTTTCTCACCTTTCTTTTCACCCAAGTTAATATATGTCTACCCTCTAGTTGGTAATTATCCATTCCTTCCCCTCTCACCCCTGGTTTAAATAAGGGAATCAAATAAATCACTTACTTTAAAACTTTATCTAAAAATTCATTCCTTTACCCCCATATAAACAAGCTAAATATAGTAATAAAAGGAATTATTCATACATGCATACCCACAACATGTTCACTTATTTGGTTAATAAAAATACTTTATAAGCTTAAGAAAATGCAGATTCAGTATAAAAATGAATAATTTTGCTAAATAATGGTGAATCTTTCCATCTTTTAGCAAAGACTTAAATATTTTCAGTATGACAATTTTCACCCCAATATAATTTATAAATTTAAAGCAATTCTAGTTGAAAATCTCAAGTGGCTTTTCAGAGAAGTCTGATAATGATACTGAATTTAACCTAAAAGAATAGATGGACATAGAGGGCCAAAAGAATCTGACAAAGAATAAGTGATTGTTGTTGTGTTGTTGTTATATGCCGTCGAGTCAGACTTGACTCATAGTGACTCCTCCTTGGATTTCCGAGGAGGTATCCATACGGAAGTAGATTGCCCAACTTTCCTTCCAAGGAGTGGCTGGTGGGTTTGAACCGCCAGCCTTCTAGTTAGCAGTCAAGTGCCTTTGGCACTATGCTACCAGAGCTCCCAAGAATAAGTGAGGAAACCTAAAATTACCATTATTAAAAAGCATTAAAAGTGAAACCAATTAAAACACTATGAAAAAGTCACAAGAATGGATTGGCAGATAATAGGAATAGAATAAAATAGCCAGAAAGAATTAAAATCCTGGGAGCACTGGTAGAGTAGTGCCTAAGGTACCTGACTACTAACCAAAAGGCCGGCAGTTCAAACCCACCAGCCACTCCTCACAAGGAAGGTTGGGCATTCTACTTCCATAGAGATACGGCCTCAGGAGCGGTCACTATGAGTCGGATCCAACTCTACGGTAGTGAATTTTTTGAGACATCAATCTAAAAGAATGAGAACACTTGCTTCATAATTCTACCTCTGGGAATTTACTTTATGAAGATGATCTGAGAAATATACAAATATAATTTTATATAATTGTAAAAAATTGGATTGTTGGGGATAAACTAAATATCCAATAGGAGGGAATTGGTTAAGCAACTTAAAGCATAGCTACATGATGAACTATAGAAAATCACATTGTATATGAATCTAATTCCTGGGTGTCTTAGTTATCTAGTGCTGCTGGAACAGAAATAATACAAATGAATGGCTTTAGCAAACAGAAATTTATTGTCTTATAGTTAGGAGGCTAGAAGTCCAAATTCAGGGTACTGGTTCTAGGGAAAGGCTTTCTCTCTATATGGGATCTGGGGGAAGGTCCTTGTCTTTTTTCAGCTTCTGTTCCTTGGTTCCTTGATGATCTTCATGTTTATCTTCCCCTCCCATTTTTGGCTTAATCGGCTCTTTTTACATATCAAAGATAATTGGTTTAAGACACCCTACGCTGCTATTCTCAAATGGGATTACACCCACAAATATAAGGGTTTAGGATTTACAACACATATTCTTTTGGGACACAGTTTAATCTATAAAATCCACTGCCATCAAGTCAATTCTGACTCATAGGACCCTATAGGACAGAGTAGAACTGCCTCATATGGTTTCCAAGGCTGTAAATCCTTATGGAAGCAGACTACCTCATCTATCTCCCATGGTGCAGCTAGTAGGTTCAAGCTGCTGACCTTTCGAGTAGCAGCCAAAAATCACAATGCTACATATTTCCAAATGAAAAATTAGTGTGTATAATATCATACTTTTTTAGTAAAAATAAAGGATGTGTGTGTGTCTGGAAAGACAAAAACAAAAATGTTACCAATGGTTTCTCCATTTATAGAAATATAGATAAATTTGTTTTTATCTTGGACCTTTTTTATATTTTCCAAGTTTTCTGAACTAAGCATTTATTGCTTTTATAAGTTACATAAGTAACAAAAACAATAGTAGATATAATTATTAAAAAGGCATTTACTATTATATTTTATATTTATTACTTTGCACTAATACTATTACTAACCTTCTAATTTAGAAATGCTTACACAGCAACCCCACCTTCTCTACTTGTTGAATCACACTCACATTCTGCAATATATAATACAATCAAGATTGCTTTTTATATAAAAACCTAATTTCTGATAAAAGAACTCGCTTGTTATAGAATACGACAGTTGGTATAAACTATAACATTATCAAAGATGATTCTGATTAATCCTGTTATCAAAGATTATTAAAATGTTATTCTTAATTTCTTACTTTAAAAGTTGTAGATAAATCATCATCTTCTGTAGGATCGGTATCAAACCAATTACCAGTTGGATCTTCTATTTCTTGTAAACTTTTATGAAATTCTAGCAGTCCTCCATGATATCTATAAGACATTTTAAAGTAAGGTTAGCTTAAATGGGACTCTTGATCTGGAATGAATTCATTAATAAGACAACAACCAAAACCAAATCACACTCATTGCCACTGAGTCGATTCTGACTCATAGTGACCATATAGGACAGAGTAGAACTGTCCCATGGGGGCCAAGGCTACAAATCTTTATGGAAGCAGACACTGCCATATCTTTCTCCAGTGGATCGGCTGGTAGGTTCAAACCACCAGTTTTAGTTAGCAGCCGAGCAATTAACCACTGCGCTATCAGGACTCCTTATAAGACAGTAAATAACCCATTTTTGTGTGTGACAAGTAGGGTGATGACAACCTCTGGCATGCTATAAAAATACAAATACTAGGACTTTCACCTATAGTGGATTGGAATAAAATACTAGTGGAAAGGAAAGCAATAGGTTACAGAGTAGATCAGGCTTGAACAGTGTGGGGGCCATAGTGAAGTTGGTTTTCATTAAGTATATCAGAAGCCTAATAAAAAGAAAGAGAACAAACAAAATGGGAACCAGGAACAGGGAGGAGAGAAAAAGTTGAAAATTAGAACCTGGGATGGGAAGAAGAAAGAATAATAATAAAAAGGATAAAAAATAATAATTTTAAAACACAAAAAAACAAACTAGAAAAAGAAAAAAAAATCTGGGTAGGGAGGGAAAGGGCATCCAGGCTCCACTGGAGCACACTGACTGGGATGGAATTCCTGCCAGCCCAGAAGGTGGGTGAGAGTGAGGGATGGCCGCACCTCTGTTCACCAAGAGGGTATGGGGTATAGAAGTAACAGGGGGAATATCGCACCTTTCCAGTTGTTTGTGTCTGGAATGCCCAGACACAAGAGAATGATAGGTATAAGTCAGCCAACAATTAACTCAGAAGCATATTGTGAAAACCAGAAGGCTTCTCTGGCAGCATTTAAAGAGACTCTTATCTCCTGTAAGACAGTATGTGCTGAAAAATCAGACCCAGATTAAATTATAAGGTGAAACAACTGCAAAAAAAGACAGAATGCAGAACTCTGACAGGACTACTACTATCCACTTAGGACACACTAACAAAGTCAAAAGGCCTCTACGAGAGCATTTAAAGAGCCCCCTTTCTTCTCTCTAACCAGAGAGAAGACTGTGCTGATAACCAGGCCCTGGATTTAATTGTCAGAGTGGAACATTATCAAAAAAGACCAAATTCATAACCTTGACAGGACACCATGCTAAAATCAGGGTTTCAAAAGAGAGAATGTGTGCTCTAAGACTTGTAATGGGGCATAAAATATATGTGTTTGAAAACAATTAATTCTTAAATTCCCCTGAACCCTTTGGCAAGAAATGGCCTATTTCTTCCTAGAGGAAAGCCTCCATTTACTCAGACATCAAGTAAAGGTATCATCTGAGGTGGATGTTTCAAAAGATGATGCCTTTCCTCTCAAGATCTTGCTCTACCTCTGCTCATTGCCTTCTCACCAAAAAATCTAGGGTCAGGTATTTGTTGTTGTTGTTATTTGCCGTCGAGTCGGCCCCGACTCATAGCGACCCCTCCTTGGGTTTTCGAGGCAGTATCACTACGGAAGTAGGATTGCCCAACCTTCCTTCCGAGGTCAGGTATAGGAAGAACCCAACTGGGAATATAAAGTCCCTGCTCAAGAAAGAAAAAGCTTAATCACCCTAAGAATTGAAGAATTTAAGTAGTTTGTACTGATAAGAACAGGTATGAAAGTGAGTCTTAAGACTGCTGAACTAATGAACAAATATAAGGCTAAATAGGAAGGTGTTTACTGATACAAGACAATTCTTTCATATTTTCCTAGCAAGAACACCTGAAACAAATCCTACAATTCTGTAGAGATGGCTCCTTGAAGCTTGAATGCATCAATGACCTACAGTAAGTGAAGTGGAAATAGTGGAAATTTCTTGATAGACAAAGTGGTCTGAAGGTTCAGGGAGATCGGAATGTTAGAGTGGGTTTATTATATAAGACCGCAGAACATACCACTACCCTATGTTCCTTGAACGGTCCTGATAATACTCCATTCATGAATGCAATAAGAGACAGAGAGAAAAGGGAATCAGTGTCTTTGAGAAGCTCAATGGTGACTGTCCTCTATAAGTCAGAGATAAAAGTAAAAGATTTTGCCATACAACCTTTTCTGAGCACAAATTTCTACCGTCAATAATCTGGAAAATGTGTTCTATTCAACACCCATCAACAAAGAGAATAAAAAGTAATCTGTATATCTTAGGGAGGCGCTCTGGTAGCGTAATGCATAAGGCACTTGACTGCTAACCAGAAGGCTGGCAGTTCAAACCCACCAGCCACTACTCGGAAGGAAGGTTGGGCAATCTACTCTGTAGTGACCCTGCCTCGGAAACCCAAGGAGGGGTGGCTATGAGTCAGGTCCGACTTGATGACACATAACAACAACAACATCTTAGGGAAGGAGAGCAGTACACATTCCTTGCCTTATGTTAAAACCAGTTGCCTTAGGCAGAGTTCTGGTAAGATGGTGGAATAGGCAGACAAACTACACAGACTCTCTTCAACAAGGAAAAGGGGAACCAATTAACGCAGATACAGAAGATAATCCTAGAGCCTTGCACTTTGAAAGGAAGAATACAGAAGTTGACTAAACTCCAACTAGTAGAAGAACCTGTATGAAAACACCAAAAAAGGAGACATATGGAGCTGTGCTCTGTCAGTGATCCTGATGGCACAAACAGCATGGATATTGTCAAGTGGTGTTAGGATCTAAGAATTAACCTAAGAATTGGCCTTGGTAGCCAGGGTTTGCATGGAACACTGCACTGCTGGCTGGTGAATAAAAGGGAAAGCAGCAAAGAGGAAGTCAGGCTGAGCTGTGATTTTTTGGCTGCCTAGAGGGTACAAACATTTTGAATGTTTATGAGTGGTTCAACCATTTTGTATATTTAAAGTGACAACGTTCTCCCAAATTCCAGGGACCTAAGAATAGGATCCACTTGCTGGGGACCACAAGGACATTCAAGAAACAAACAATTGGAAAGGTGCGATATTCCCCGTGTTACTCTTATACCCCACACCCTCTTGGTGAACAGAGGTGTGGCCATCGCTCACTCCCACCCACCTTCTGGGCTGGCAGGAATTCCATCCAGTCAGTTTGCTCCAACGGAGACTGGGTGCCCTGCCCCTACCTACCCAGATTTTTTTTTTCTTTTTCTAGTTCGTTTTTGTGTGTTTTAAAATTAGTAAATTTTTTTTCAACCTTTTTATTATTATTCTTTCTTCTTCCCTTCCCAGGTTCTAATTTCCAGCTTTCTCTCTCCTTCTGTTCCTGGTTTCCATTTCTTTCGTTCTCATGGTTATTTCCATTCCTTGTTTTTCTTTTTGCATTTTTCCCATTTCTTTTTTCATTATTCTCTAACTCTACCTCTTTTCTCTTATTGACCCCTCCCAAGATAGAGTGGGTTTTTCTTTTTTTGTCTTTTATTTTTTTGGTGATTGTTCCTGTGTGTTTATGCGGTATGTTTTTGTGTCAACTTGCTTTTACATTTTTGATGTTTTTTTGATTGTTGTTTTTGTCTAAGTGGGAGAAAGCAAGCGTATCCATAAGATGCAACCACACCCACTCCTCCTGCAGTTCCACTTACTGAGTGGAAGAGCCACAACTTCCTTCTCCCCTAACTGGACAAAGATAACTGACCACCAAATAGAGCCTGATTCACTCTTACCTGCTCTTCACAAACAGTTAACAGAGATCTGAATACAACAAAGTCACAATGTCCTGGAGACAAAAGACCATCACAGTCCACACAAAGAAGTAGGATAAAGCTGTAGAAACAAGGGAGCAGGATACAGATCCAGAACACATCCCTGAGGAAGCAGCAGCATTGGAACTCCCTGATAAGAATTCAAAAGAATTATATTAAGGTATCTTAAAAGACTGAGAGACAGATTAAGGAAAACAATGACACAATTAAGGAAAACACAGACAAAACCCTAGAACAATTTTGGAAGAAAATACAAGCACAAAATGACAAATAAATGAAACATTAGAAATGATACAAAATCCACAAATAGAAATCCAGAAGATTAATACTAAATTTTCAGAAATAAATAACACATTGAAAGTGCAAAGGAGTAGAATTAAATCAATGGAAGATAGAATTAATGGGACTGAAGACAAATATCTGAATACTTCTTTGGAATGGGATCAATCAAAAAAAGATCAAAACAAAATGAACAAAGCCTAAGGTTCATGTGAGATAACATCAAAAGGAATAATCTATGTGTAATCAGAATTCCAGAACAGAAAGAGACAAATAAAACCACAGAAAAAATTTTTGGAAGATTTGTTGGAGGAGAACTTCCCTGATAAAATAAAAGATGAGAATTTATCAATTCAGTAAATCCAATTAACCCCAAACAGGAGAGACCCCAAAAGAAAATCAACAAGATGTATCATCATTAAATTCATCAAAACCAAAGACAAGGAAAGAATCCTTAAAGCAGCACGTGAAAACAAAAAGTTACCTAAAAAGACAACCATTAAGAATAAGTTCTGATTTCTCAGCAGAAACCATGCAAGTGAGAAGGCAACAGAATGGTATATATAACACCCTAAAAGAGAAAAATTTCCAACCAGGAATTATATACCCAGCAAAACTGTCCTTCAAATATGATGATGATGATGATGATGATGATGATAATGATGATGAAATTAGGAGATTTCCAGATACGCAGAAATAAACAAAATTTGTTAAAACCAGACCAACCTCATAAGAAATACAAAAGAGAGTACTCTGAACAGAGAACTAATAATGGCAAACAACATCCCACCATTAATACACAAGGTGACACAACCCAGAAACCAACACAGATATGGAAATATCCTAAGTAAAATAAGCTTCCTTGGTTGGAAAAAGGGAACCAGACATCAATTGGCAAATGAGGACGATCACAGAAAAAAACAGGGAAAAATAGGGTAGTTACAGAACTGCTAAATGGTGAGGA